ACTAAATAAGTAAGATGATAGTCTGTTAATATAATATTCATACCAGTATAGTTTAATAAAAAAGATAGATTAAATTAGCCAGCATTATAAATAATGCTGGCTAATTTTATCTTATAATATAATTTTTTACGTAATAAAAAATTAAAAATATATATAAATAATATTTTAAAATTGATCAACATTATTTTTTCAGCATAAGTAAAATATTTACTTACATTAGGGTCTCGCCACCATTTGTTAATACAAACTAACTTTTTAACCTTCTCATCGTCCTTCGACTGATCCTCATCCGTCTTTCACTTCTCATCAGAATGATAGGCATTCCTTCCTTTGCTTCTTGTTAATATCTCTAGATCATCCCGTAAATATCTCTTAATGCTTTTATTTCTCGCCTTTATTAAATACATTAATGCTTTTTGTCTCCTTTTTCTCTTCTATAATACAGTAATTTAAATTATTATATTTTCTTACAAATCAAATCATTTATCTAATATATCAGTCATCTCTTACTGATTTTTCAGATAAATGATTTGTTAGTTAAGTAACTCTAGAATTGATTTAAAAAATAATTTATATGATAAATTTTATTATGCTTACCTCACTCACCTTACTATTTTTTCTCATTTTGATGTGATTGTAGACCTTTAAGTTTGGATCAGCATTTATTGTTGCTGTTCGTCATTGCATCTTATAATGTTGTTTTAAAATTTTTTCAATCACACCAGAATAATGCCAATATCCTGGTAATTTTTTTGTAATAGCAAGAATCAGCTTTTGCCTTATGTTTCACGATTGTCTAGCCAATTATTAAGTCGGATCAGGCTTTAGGTCAGATAGCTTACCACCTTCTATTAATACTTTAATTTCATTCTTAGTAATAATAATTATAATAATATTAATAATAAAAGTAAATTAATTATAATAACAATAATAAAGTAAATTAATTATAATAATAATAATAAAAGTAAATTAATTAAAAAAACAGACAAACACACAAATATAAGACAAATAATATTTACTCATAAGTGAGACCTCTGCTCATTTGTCAATACTTTCAGTACATCTTCACTTGAACTGCTGCTACTGCTACTAGACCTGCTAGTGCTTCTACTTGTGCTTCTACTAACTGACCTACCACTATCTCTACTATCTGATCTATCTTTATTCCTACTAACCGATCTACCTCTTCTCCTTTTAACCGATTTATCTTCCACCTCACTTTCATCTTCACTACTAGTAGCTTCTGAGCTACTAAAGCTTAAAGACAATAGTGATCTTGCTCTTTCTTTCCCCTTATTAAATACTGCTGTGACTACTTGAGCAACTGTTTGCATAATGTAACTCGCTTCCACTAAATAATAGATTATTGTTGTGTTAATGATATATTAAAGTTATCACTTTTTATAAACCTTACATTTTTTTTTCTTATGTTTACATGACTTTTTCTTAGACTTTTTAGCACCTATTTTACTGCTCTCTGATTTTGACAAATGCTTTTCTTTATCTATGTTTTTGATAAAAATTTAAGTTGACGAAAAAATTAAAAGATATTGACCATCTTATATATAAATCTTACCATCATCATCCAATCTTCTAAGTGAAAGATATTATTTTTTAATGTAATCAAAGATTAATTAAAAAATTGCCAAAATGCATAACTACTAAATTCGGTAATTATTAAAGATATATTATATTTAAATCAGTTATTAATTAATGATATTATAGTGATATTAATATAATTTTTTATTGCTTAATAATAAATGAGTACAATATTCGAAGGAATATCTTCTATACAAAAGTTAATTAATTTAATGAAATCATTTATTTAATTGATGATTCTCCAGTTAACTGAAGAATGATCATAGTAAAACGTGACGCGGTTCTATATATAAATTACTATAGATGCGAAAGTATAAATTTTCTAGTAATTGTTCAAAGAAAACTTTTTTTTGTACTAAGTTAATCATCTTTGAGTCTCTAATTAAAGTTGTAGAGCTCATCGAG